AACTAGATGGAAATACAACAGATTTACAGCATAATAATCAATTTGTAATTACAACACGAAAACCAATTTGTAACCACATAGATGCAACTAACTACAACACAATTACAACACGAAATGTGAAGAGAATGAAACAACATATTAATTTTCCTCAATTTCATAAAATGCATTTAACGACATACTTAGTTTTTACAGCATAATCCAAAATGTGAGGAGAATGAAAAAATACATTTTCTGAAATGCATTTAACGGAAGACTGCAAATTCAAAATGCACAATACTAAAGGAGCATAGAATATTGAAGTTGGCTCACTTGGTAAACCATCGTTTATGGTAAGATTGTACTTCAGTCGCATCTGACAGTCTTTTTTAGAATTGAAAATGCACAAATCGAACGGGAAATCAGCTGAGGCGAAGGGTCAAGTAGTTGGAGAAGACAAACGTGGTCGGAGAATACGAACTTAGACTGATTTTCTCGATTGTCAGAGCTGTAAACGTGCTCCGCCTTCAAATCCCCCTTTCTCAAATTTCTTCTCACCTGGACTGATATTTCTGAATGGGAAATGTACATGATGAACTGGAAATCAGCTAAGTTTGTTTGAAGACAACCTTCGGACTGATTCTGTCGGAGAAGACAAACGAGAAATCAGCTGGACATGTGTTTTCAGTGTATGTGTTCTTAGTGTTTCTAGGGCTCTATTTTGGGGAAAACCAATTGCGCGGCTTGTATAAGCTATAAATCTCTCTTCCCTCGTTTTCCCCCCTTTTTTTGGCCATGCCGTCGATATTTTGAAATTTTGTAAAGCATCTGTGAAAGCCTATATGTACACTTAGAATTATTCCATAAAAAAGGGGAGAACATCATAATTTTTATTAGAAGTTCTATATTATACAAAATATTATACTAACAAATATAATTTACAATATCATAATCTCCCAATATTATTATTAACAAGCAATGATCAGTTGGTTCGATTAGTGACTCGATGATTTAGTACCTTATTCGGGTCGAATTTGATAACTATGTTCGAATCCATTACCCTGACTCTGATATCATTTATGGGATTGGACTTCAAACATCTCACTTGAAAATCAATTGATGTTCAATCAAAGTAGGATAAACATTTTATGACATTCACATCACCGTCATGCGAGTGACACAATCAATTAACTTAAGAGTGGCATTGTTACACCCAACAATGAGAACTTTGAAGTGAAACACTAAATTATATATTTTACTTGACATCCAAACAACAACCCAATGTAACGAGCACAAAGCGGAGGACACGAGCGGCGGTCCACCAAATTCCTAGATCTAGAAGTAACTATGATCATAGGGTTAGTCATATCATTGGTCTCTAAACTTTCTTGTTTTAGGTTTCGGTCATCGAATTTCATAGTGTTTCTCCATAGTCATTCAACTTTCTGTTGTGATACGCATTCACCATTTTCTTGTGTTGGCCTTAGTGCACTTTGTTTGTTTAGACCTACGTCTTGATGAGATGAAAGGATGTAGTCGCATCAGGTTTTCATGATGGATGTAACTTATGTGTAAATGGGTTATGGCTATGTCCATTCTTCTTTCCAAGAAAGCTCCAAACAAGACTTTTGCGATTTGTACATGCCAAAAGAATATTATATTATAATTTCAACAGGTACTCGTTGAATTATAATTCCAATTTCTCTATAGTTTTGTTTTTTATTTCGACGTGTGTTACTAGATTGAATTCATGCTGAGCAATTAGATAATGTTCCAAATCTAAACCAGATTACTTAATTGTCCAAATAAAATTAAACCTAACCGTTGTTGGCAAATTGATTTGATCTGAACATTGGCTTCTTGGTATAGACTTTTTATCCCTTACTAGATTTAAACAACGTGCAATGCACGTTTGCTTAGTTTATATATAATTTTTTTGGTTAAGAATTAAATTTTTATTAATAAAGATGTAATTTTTTTGTTAATTAAATAACTAATTATGTAATGTTTATGTAATTGATAAATAATTAAACATTGTGATTTATTAAAAAAAGAGCATTAATAGAATCTATAGCATCGTCCTATATATAAACATCGCTCATAGTTTTATGAAAGCTATTTGAGATCATTTTGATTCTAAGATAACGATTCAGCATTTTTCTCATCTTGCACTGCTTCAATAGAGAGGACATTAAATTGCCTATATTTTTTCTCCTTTAGTTTCTTTGGATCTACATGAGCTTGAATCTTCCAAATTTCTTTTGATAATTTCTCTGCAACGCTTTTAACATATGATCGATTTTCCTACAAAATAAATTTTGAATATGTTTACATAATTAATAAAAAAACCCAATTATTTTTAAATAACTCATTATAATAAAAATCAAGTTTTGAAGAAAAATTTAAGGAATACCTCTTCAGCATGTCTCGTCAATTCAACTGTTGAACAACCAAGTGCATGTTCTGCTACTTCACCAAACATAGTAGCAACTAGTTTTCCAGTATTATCGTCCAGTTGAACNATAATAAAATAATAGATAACATTACATTACAATACAAAACTAAATAAATAAATATTTTTTCTTCATTAAATTCAATGTACCTTACCAAATAAATTATTAGCATTTTTAAACTGATAATCTTCACGTCCATTTTGTTTTTTTAATTTAATTTTTTCCTAGTAACTAAAATGTAGTAGTACAAAGCATTTTGCATTTCTCATTCATTTATTATTAGATAATGGAATTCCAATAGACACAACATCAATTGCCACAAACGGTGGCTTAATTGCTATTTAATGGAAACAATAAAACTAACAGTGAATATATATATATAAGCAACGTGCAATGCACGTTTGCCTAGTTTATATTTAATAGTTTTGTTTAAGAATTAATTTGTTATTAATAAAGATATAATTTTTTTGGTTAATTGAATAATTAATGTTGTAATGTTTATGTAATTCATAAATAATTAGATGTGCGATTTTGATGTTGTGATGTAAGTTGGTGAGAATGAAGAAAATAAGCAAAAGTTGACAAATTTGGAGAAAGTGCTAAATTGTAAGGGATCCAAAGTTTGGGGACTAAAATGTAAATATTTAAAAGTGGTGCCGAACCTCACGATGAATATTTGAGAGTGCTCAGAGTCAATTGGATGAAGGAAGACATCAATGGAATCAAATTTAGTCAAAAGATGATCACAAATCAATTTCCAATCGAAAAGTTATGCTCCGATGTTTTAGTCTCATATTGAGATCTATTTTTGGCATAGAAAGTGATCGAATTGGATAATGATGTTTGAATCAAAGTTGTAGCCAGATGAGTTAGCTTTCCAACGCATTTTGAATCGCCTCAATCGGATATCGGAATATAAAGTTAAGATAAAAACACTGAAAGAAGGTGCAACTGCCTGTTTAAAATAAGAAATTCCGTTACATAGTCCGTTAAAATAACAAATTTCGTTAGTTTTTCAGTTAAAAACAAGAAATTCTGTTACATAGCCACTTTTAATATATAGAAGATATATATAGGTTTTCCTTTGTTTAATTCATGAATTCTGTATCACTTAATTTATGCACGTTATTGAGAATTGATTATCACCTTGTTGCATTAACTTTTAATTAAATTATGTCAACCAAAAGTAGCTGCGGAGACTTATAAGAATGTTATAAATTCATCTAATGGAAACGTTGTGGCATGAAGTTTCCCAATAACCATTGAGAATCACTAGGAAAAATTTATTGACCGTTGACAAAATGTTTTGAAGTTCACTTACAATGGAGAAACACAACAAAAAAAGTTCAATTACCATTTGACAACATAATTGGTCTTAGTTTGACAAGCTAACGACGTTGACCTGTCATATTGACCATTTTAGCAGCTCCTTCAAAAAAAAAAAAAAAAAAAAAAAAATTGTAGGAATGATAGACGACTATCACATTTAAAAGTTGAGTGATAATAAAAAAATATTTTAAAATTCACTTATCAAGTAGTAATTTAAAAAAAAAAAAAGTGATCAATAAAATAATTGATCCATAATCATGCCGTAAACTTCGACTCAACAAAATTCGTCTAAACTATTCTCTATAATCTACTAGGTAACTAAGGCCCAATTTGATAAACAACTTTCGTAGTGTTTAATAAGGAAATTTTTCATGACTTTCTCTCACACGTGCACATTTTCCACCTTTTTGTTGAAGTTGTTTTCCCACCTTTTAGTTGGGTTTATATTTTTCAACTTTTTCCACAACTTTTATTGATAATTTTCATGCAAAATAAAACCAAACGAATGATATTCGATATGATAATTGTTTTTTTGGCAAGTGAAACAAATTCTATACCCAATGGTAAAAGAAACTATCACTTTAATAGATAATTTTCATGAAAAATAAAGTCAAACGTACATCAAACTTTTAACATTTTTCAAATAAAAAATTATATCAATTAAACACAATTAATTACAATTCTGAGTAAAATAATTTCTAGGTAATTTACTTTCGTAAATTTATTTTCTTTTCACCTTTTTTCATATTTGCAATCAAACGGACCTTAGTACTATTTCTTAAACCTAATGAATTTAATTTTTTTTTTTTGGAGTAAAATCAAATAATCTTACATTATTACGACTTCTTCTAGAGAATTTCTCAAATTAAGCCCCTCCCGTAGTTTTCTTGTTTCCAAGTCAAAAACAACAATCACACGGTATTCATCCAATTTCAGCAATTGTGTGCTGAAATATCGGTTTCCACGAACTCAACGAACAACATTTGGAACAGTGTTTTTCCACAAAACAATACTGTCTCGTCATTACTCGAACCCACAAAGCCATTTCCAAGAAACTTGAATCCAAAATAAAGCACCGGAAATTTTCAAATTTCAACAAACTTTTATCTAGGGTTTGTGTTTTCTTGGCCTTTTCAATATCCAATCCGTCACAAACCCTAGATCTTTGCTCTTTCTTGTAAAAGGGCAAGTTTTCTTTTGCAGGAGGAGTTTTATTTCTAGGTGTATTTGAGTATGGAGATAATGAAAGGGGGTATTCAAGTATCTGATGAATTATTGGGAACATTTGCGCCAATAGTGGTGTACTGGATATATTCTGGGATATATGTGTTGCTTGGATCATTGGATAATTACAGGCTGCATACTAGGAAAGATGAAGATGAGAAGAATTTGATACCCAAAAAGGACGTTGTCAAAGGGGTTCTTCTCCAGCAGGCTGTTCAGGCCATTGTTGCGAGCCTTCTCTTTGCAGTGAGTCTTTTTATTTTTTATTTTTTTTTTTCCCTTTTATGGTATTATGATCTTGCATTAGTTTCTTTTCTGTACACGTTTTGCCCTAATTTATTGCACCTTGTAGCATAAATAGGAATTTGTTGCTATAATTGGAGTCGATGCATCGCAATCAGAAAGTAGGACTGGCTTATAAATGTCTTCTGAATAATGACATGGTCAATAATGCATAATTGGGTAGGTGATGAATCATATATGCTACATACATATATTTATATGTATGTTAAATAAAATAATAACATTTTTTATAGTATGGAGTTCGAGGGTATGCTTTCGTGTGTTTGTGTATGTATTTATAACGTTGATAGTTTTTTCTCTTTTTTTTTTTATGTATGTTTATTATCTGTTATGATGATTATGGTTATGTTTTCTGTTTTAGAGTTATTGTTGGCAAATTTGTGCATATAAATTTATATTTTGGAGGGAATCTTTTACTTTTGAGAAAATTTAAAGTTTTGATTACATTTTATCATCTGATTCTTGTGAATAATTGTCCATCACAAATCGTTTGACTGCTTTAAAACCAAAAATATTAAAACTGTTCTGCTCTTTGTTTGGGTGTGTTTCTTGTTTCTTGGATACCAGAAGAAGATAATTCGGTGGTCAACATACAGTTTTTCCGACACAATCTATGCTGTTTGATGTTCTATGTAAAATATAGAGACATTTTGCTGAAAAGTAGGTTGCTGTCAGGATCTTGAGACACGTCTAATCCTACCGCTCTTAGGTGACTGATAGAGAACAAAGATCTTGCCATATTTGGTTGCATGTTTTTATTACTGCACCCTTTTTCTCTCTCCGTATTAGTAAAATAGGATGCAGCCAACGATGCACATCAGTGAAGGGTGGAGTGCAAATTTATCAAGGATACAATATATATCATGGATGTCTTTTAATTCTTTTGGGAAGTTACGAGTATTATATAACCTAGAGATAACTTAACTTATATCTGGGTGATGTCTCTGTATGGGGTGGGGATCCAAGTCCTCAAGTACTTGCTACCCCACATTATCACAATTCGTGGTTGGCAGGTGAAGTTTACTCGAATTCTCTCTTGCAGTTAATCTTTCATGGCGATCTAGTAGGCTGGGATAATTCCTCGATTTGGATGGAGAGATTTGGGTTGTTAATGTTTAATTTAGCAGACTCTAGATTGCACATAAATAAATGAGCTTATGAACAGGGGGAAAGCTCTTGAAACTTCTTGTTTCGTTCTTGATTGGAAGAACAAGCTGACATGATTCCAAGTTCCGCCTATTACCATTATGCATACATATTCTATACAGAATATCTTTAGGAAATAACTATAAACTTCGTCCGTTATTAATTGTTTATAAAAATAACTAATTACATTTGAGTTTAGTAAAGGGATTCAGGTAGTAAATGAGTAGACGATTATGCTAGGGCATGACAATTCCACATAGTTATAAAGCATTGATATCATCAAGTTTTTTGGAATATAGTATTTTCTTTTTCCAAAAACTAAATCTGTGGAAATGTGCATCGTGTTTTGGATATTCATTCTACTGTCAAGAGAGTAGGTTTGATTAAATAATCAGAATTTTTGAGTTGCTTGTGGGCATTGTTAGTGTTCACAATGATTTTGAAATGATTGCATATAGTCTCCTCCCTTATCAGCTGCTTCATCCTAATAACAAAACTGCTCCAAATTCGATGTGCATAATGAAAGTAATATTGTGGTGTAGCCCTATCATTAAGTTTTTCTCATGAATAAAATTGTAAATTGTTTATATTTCTGCCATAAAGGGTACCCTTTAACTTTCAAATTAAGATATTCTTGTCTTTGTATCGGTAAATATTTATTCTGCAAGAATTGGAAAACCGAGGAATGACAACACTATTGTTAACTTTGTATATATGGGACTGCAGTATACTGCAGAGCTGCATTTATTGTTAAATTGTTGAAATGTGGGCAGGTTTAAAATTTCCTACGAAGGAAAAAAACATGATGATAAAAGAGGTGTTTCTGCTTTGACCTTTGAGGTGGACAAGTTTTGAATAGGTCAAGCTTGAAGCAATTATACATATTTTTAGTCAAAACATGACCATAATATGAGTTTTGTTTTTCTTTTCATTTGATGATTAATTTGACAGTCTTATAATCGTTCTATTTAAAGGGATAATGTTGTTAGTGTGGTTTCCTTCCGGTAATTTATCCTGCTTCATTTGTCTATTTAAAATATCTTAATTTTGTAAAAAGAAATCGGAAAGTAAAGATATTTATCGAAGTGAATCAAGATATTACATGTAATACCATTCATGGGATTTGTACTCACAAAATCACCCTGATGCTTCATGTGACAAACTCAATGGCATTAAGATGCAAATTTTAGGTTCCTGCTATTGTCGTTTCTTTAGGAAATGTTTTGGTTTATTATTTAGGTGCTCTAGTTAGCGTTCAAGGTTAACCTTGAGGGGTTGCTCAATTGGTCAGGTCTTGGGTTTGCTCCTCAATGATCACCGGTTCGAGTCCCCTCATGGCCACTGAGGTGAGTACCTGGCCATAAACTTCAGGGCCCTGTGGAATTAGTTGAGGTGCGCGCAAGCTGCCCGGACATCCACGGTTATCAAAAAAAAAAAAAGTTAGCGTTCAAGGTTATTTTGATATTTCTATGATTGGAAATATTCTGATTAATTATTGAAAGAAATGATCGGAAGTCTGATTTTATATCTGGTGGACTGGATGGGTTGTTCCTTAAGACTTGTTGAAACTTTTTTATGAAACTTGAGAGCATGCATGAGTAGAACACTTGCTTTTCTTAGGTTGTAAATGAACTATATTTGTCATGTAGGTTACAGGAAGTGATAATGAAGCTGCACAAGGTCAACAAGCTTCCCTTATTGTTCTTGCTAGACAACTTTTTGTTGCAATGGTGGTATTAGATACTTGGCAATATTTTATGCACCGATACATGCATCACAACAAGTTCTTGTACCGACATATACATTCTCAGCATCACCGTCTTGTCGTGCCATATGCTTTTGGAGCTTTGTACAACCATCCCTTGGAAGGTCTGATTCTCGACACGGTTGGTGGTGCTTTAGCTTTCCTACTATCAGGCATGTCTCCCCGTGCTTCCATATTCTTTTTCTCCTTTGCCACCATCAAAACAGTTGACGATCATTGTGGGCTATGGCTACCTGGAAACCTTTTCCATATCTTCTTCGGAAATAATTCTGCATATCATGATATTCACCACCAGCTCTACGGCACCAAATATAACTTTTCCCAGCCATTCTTTGTGACTTGGGATAGGATTCTTGGTACTTACATGCCGTATTCCCTTGAGAAAAGAACTGGCGGTGGTTTTGAAGCACGCCCTGCTAAAGAATGCAAGGAAAACTGACAAGACAAAACGCGCACTCTCTGCAGCACAAAGCACACCAACTACAGCATTTTGGTTTAGTGCTCGATTACTTTTGTGATTTGTATATATGCCTATATGTCTACATACATACGTGATATATGGTTGTGTAAGTAACTCTGGTTGTCATAGAAGTGTTCAAGACATATAGTGACAAGTTAAAAGCCCCTTCTTGGAGGTATCTTGAATTGTTCTTGGTAATGTAAGTCGTTCTTAATTTTGCATTGGGGAAACATTTTTTCGATACAGAAGATTGCTTATTCTGAATCTGATTGAAATTACAAAAGATAATGCTCTCATTTGTTCTCTGTAGTAAAATTAGTCCCCTTATTGGTAGGGATGATCGTGGTGTTAATGGCTTCATTTGATCTACGATCAAGCGTACGACATTCTGTTTAAGATGTTGACGGAATTTGTTAATCCTCGTCATTGGTAATCAGAGGGAAGCTATATGGCCGATTTTTAAGATGTTGACAGAATTTGTTAATCCTCGTCATTGGTAATCAGAGGGAAGCTATATGGCCTTAATCGGCCGTATAATGTCATTTAGCCATCTCAGAGGTGTCTATCAGTCCATTAATTCTCAACTGTGTTGGGAATTTCCGTCTGAGGACCACCAAATCCGTTAGCAGTGATCAAAATTATTTGATATTTAATTGTTTGGCCAATGTAAGATGTATGTTTATTCTTGAATACGACATGGCTTTACTCTAAATTGCTCCCTGGACCGACCTCATTAAATTTTGCACTTCTTTTTTCAACTCTGGATGGGGTAGTTGGAAATTTAAAATCCTATCTGCAAGTACAATTTCTTTTAAGACATAATTTGCTTTAGAGAATTGGATGAATTTTTTCGATTCTTCGGATTTATACTTTTATATAATTTGGGTGTCGAGATGGCTTCTTGACTAGCTTGAACTCTCTCTTTGTACACCAAATAGCTCCCTACATACGCCAAATAACTCCCACTTTATACTTTATCTAATTTATACTTTCGTAGAAGGCTTAACACGTCTGGAAAATAGCTACGAGAATTAAACGAGCCTTTTCAGAGATTCTACACCAAGAACAAGTGTAAAACTCTAAGAACAGACAAAAAAATAGGAAAAATCTTCATATTTGGAAGGGTTTTATTCACACAACACTTGTATATGTTTATGGTTGTTACTCGTATTTATATCATCAACACTTGTACTTCACGAATGGACATGAATGTTAGAGAAACGACATTTATACAAAAAGAGGTCTGAAAAATATAGCCTAATGGTTACTTTGGCCCTGCCGCTCAGGTGGTCTCGAGGCCTCGCGTAATGCGAAAACATGCCTTGGACCTCCTCTCACTTCATCTTTATCCGTTCTCGCGTAACTTTCCCAACTTCAAAAATCATTTAAAACCTTCATAGCTCAATTGTTAATGCAGATCATCAATTTCCAACACTAGACTCAGACCACACCAATGTATGTACATAACCTATATTTGGCATGTCTAAAGCTTCATCTATGTCTTCATGAACATAACCAAATGCATGTCCTGCATAGCCATATCATCTAGAGCAGGATCTCTAAGTGTATCTTCCCTTTGCACCCCTTCGTTTCACTTAAGTCGTTAGGATCTTTAGCCACGTTGACCGCATACTGTTTTTCTTTCATGAAGAAGTTGATTTACTAGAGCTAGAAAACACTATGCACTAACTCCTCAACTGCCAATTTCATTTTAACATTGTGGTTTCTATAGTGATTGATAATCCCATATTTGAGAAAGCCGCATTACAGATGTTGATATTACTGTCCATGGTCTATCTGAGACCTGGACATTTGCTTGCCAGAATATGCTTGATACTTCTGCATAGTCGAACCTATGTGAGTTCACCAACGTCAGATGTTTTTTCAAATCCGAATAAACCAATATACCCGATAGACAGAAATTCTAATTTTTAACCTCGTGAGCAAATTCTTGACGAAAACTATTATCCGAAAGCAAAAATGATGCTGGCACAACATTTTTATCATTGAGGTGGTATGATACTGTGTGTATTTGTGTTATAGATAGATAATGAAGATGTAAAAAACTCTTACGAGTATTTAAGCTACTTTATTCTGCTCATTATTAGCTATCAACTGTTAATCACTTGGTAAAAATGGAAAAAGCTTTGGGAACACATTACAGAATGCAGTTTTATTGAATATATAACAGAGTTACAGATGTGATCTAGACTCAATCAAATGTACTTTTGTCTGTTTCGTTTATCAAATCCCGTCAGCTTACTCTCGGTGTGAAATCTTGTCACCGGCGTGAACGACTCTGGTCGGTGGTGCCTTCTTGCATTTGGAAATGCGTCTCCTGCAACTCTAACAGCTGTATGACTTTTACAACCTGAAAGAATGCTTGGACGACGCCATTTTGGCAGATTTAGTACCGTCTTCTGGGGATATGCTGTAGTGGCGGTGGCTGCAGGAGCGGTGATAGTTGATCTTTGCTCTTCGGTATCTGACATAGCGGATAAATCAGCAGCACTGGCGGTGATGACACTCCACTCTATGCTGGCTTCACTAGGTGCATAACAAGTTGTGGGGGTAAAGCAGCCGGACATGCTATTGCCATCTGATTCCTGCCTGGAAATAAAGGAATTGGCATTTTTGGACAAACTTTCAATCTCGAATAAGTCTGAACTTGTATCACTATCGCTGTTGTTGTACACTCCGTTGGAACTCGCCAGAACTTCAATTTCTTCCACTCTTCGAGAAATTGTATCCCATTTCAACACGGTTAACTTTTTCTCGAGTATTGATGAGTTCCTCCCATTCTCTAATATTGGGGAGCCAAAAACTTCGAGAGATTCTTGCATCGAATTATCTTCTACTTCTTGTAATTCCATTTCAACCGCTGGGTTTACAGTCTTGGGATTAACTACTGAGAAGCTGAAACGATCATCTGTCTTTAACTTGACTCGTATTTCATCTAGGTTTTTGCACTTCAACTTCTCCTTCCTAGCAACCATATCAAAATTTTCGAGTTCTTGTTTTTCTTTGCCATTATCCACCCTGCTGCTAATGCTCTCGTTAAGATAGTTATTGCCTCTATAATCGTCAATTTCGACTGAATTATTGTTGTTACACAAGCAATTGCAACCAATGCTGGCAAGGAAGCTCTTCTTGTTTCTCTTTCTGCAGGGCTGCTGCTTTCTTGGAATATTATGCAATAACGAGCTTCGACTATCCCAACTTGATTCAGAATGAATACTTCGAGCTGGAATCGTAGTTTTTTCTTTTATATCAAATAGTTGAAGGGGATCTTTTTTCTTATGCTGCTGATTTGGTAATTCCTTGGTTTTTGGGCTATCGTTTGTCCCCTCGTTGAAATATTTATCAGCAGTGAAAACATCGATTTCTGTGTCTTCTGCTTTCTTTTTTCCAAGGTGAAAAGGTTCGTATGTGGTGGAGGATGAATTTTGGCTTTGATTTGAATCTGCTGGTTTATGTGCAAAGGTTTTTTCCCCTCCATTTAAGTACAAAGAAAAGGAAGCTTTTCCAAGATTATGTGATATACTCGTACTGGACGTCGAATTTAGTGTTATAATAGACATAGCTAATGCACAAATGATTAAAGAGAAGAATTTGTATAGCAGAATCTTGAGATTTAGAAGGAACTGCTAAGGAAAGGGATAGGACTCAATTGCAGAAATTTCAGAGCAGATTTCTTGGTTTGAAGAGTAATGAAACTGCTGCAGGGAGAGAAGATAAATGAGGAAGAATTTGGTTAAATTAATGCGAGGTTTAATTAGGCAACTTGGCTCAATGAGAATCACTCTTTAAAAGTAGCCATAAGGAGTGTACAACATGAAAAGAAGTTTGGTTAACCAGGTGATGACTATGATTCAACTGACCGTTTTCTAAGGTTCGGGGCCGTCTTATCTATTTTGAATAAGGTGGGTCAGGAGGGGCTGCAGGGGGGTGGTGCAAGGACTGAGAGGTGGAGGAATAACCAGGAAGAAGTTGTTGTGGGAACGTGAATTTAAGGACTGACTTGTTACGGGTTGGAAAGGTTGTGATGTAATTTCTCAATTTCAAATTAGAGAACTCGAGTCATAAATTTTTCCAAATGTGGTAGCTTTTTTTAATATTTTAAACTCTATTTGGCAAAACATTATGATTTAATTTGGGCCTACCAATTATTGCCCTTTTCTCCTTTTTTGTTATTTTCTTCTTTTCAGACTCAAAATTATCAAGGTTTGTTTGCTCTTGTAATTAATTATTAGATTGTCGTTTTATCTTTATGTAAATAGATGGCTCCTTAGAGAAAACCTAAATGGATCGTTCCCCTGACTGACATTGTCAAGAGTAAACTCAATCTGCTCACATGGCTACGCTCAATCATTGCAATACTCAAAAAGTCTATCAGGTTATCCACAGTAGCAGTAGGGTAAACATTCGAAGGTGAAAAATCGAGTGTCACACTGGATACCACTTAATAGTTCACGGATTACTAATTTAACGACTTTTAAGTTATCGAATGATTTTTACTTATCCATTTTTAGTTTTGACCATACGCGCGGATTAATCAATCAAAAGTAATAAGTCACTTTTAATTGTTTCAAAATGATTAAGCATACAAGTCTAATTCCTATGTTTGAATATCGCAGTAATAAGAAAACAATAATAAATATCGATATGATGACGAAGAAATCCCAAGTGGGTAAAAATTTCGAGAGCTAGTCAGTTACCCCCACTATAAACAATACAGAGTAAGTTACAATCAGATGTTATCTAGCCAACTCCACTAGACTTCTCGATCTATTTTCTGCTAACTTCAAAGTCTACTCCAAGACTTGCTCTAGAATCTTCTGCAATTGTCTCTTCTCAGCGGAATTCTAAGAACATGCTCCAAGGCCTTGTGCTCTTTCTGAGCTTGTAGTCCAACTACTCTCAACCTCTAAAAACTTTTGAAATCCAATTGAGAAAGTACTTTTCTATGACCAATAGGAAGTATGTGGTGTTTCAAATTCAATGAGTTTGATGTTTTTCCTAAATATGTGGTAGTATGATCTCAAGAAGAAAAGATGGAATCAATGTATGAATCGACTCTTGGATTTTCAATGAATAATATGAATGTGCTTAGAGAATAAACACAATGAACAATCACCACTTAATTCGTGCATAGGCTTAGGTATTTATAGGAGATGGTAATTAGGTTGAATGGGTCGGAAAAATACTTCAAAACAACAAATTGGGGTTTTTCGGATCGACTTGTCGCTCGAGCGTGAAATTGGCGATTGGCGAGCGACGCACTATTGCTCGAACGAGAGCTCATCGACATGCAAAATATAAGCAATCTGCTTTTGCCGCTCGAGTGCCAACTGGACGAGAAGCTAGTGAAAATGTGACGTTGTGTTTTTCCTCTTTTCATGCTCGAACCCTAGACCTCATAACCCAATTTGTACAAATTGCACTCTAGGTCTTTGACTTTTACAATACATTACGAATTAGTCCATTTGTCCACAAAATCGTCAACGCTAAAAACCTAACAGAAGGAATTGAACAAGATCTTAGATTTTATTTACCTTTCTTTAATGTTGTCCAATGCCGTACAGTTCATCTCATCGAAACATGCCATTAAAAGATGGTGAATTCACGCCTTATGACCGACAGATGATTCCGACTTCATGTATGCGAGTTGCAGACTGCAATTTGAACTGAGGGTGGGTTTTTTTGGGTTGGCTCACCTTTACAGAATCACGATCCTTTGTCCTACCCATTGTAGCATGTGTGTCGTCTAGGGCATAAAGAGTTTGATGACTTGACATCATCTTCACCTTCGTCCGACTTAAAACTGACGGTCTGTTCAGATTTCCAATCTCAACTCTCAAACTCAAAGCATCCAAAGTACAGTAGTAGACAATTTTGTAGAAGAAGTTATGTTCTTGTCTTGTACCAAGCACAAACTTGGAAACACCCAGAGTTTGTTATTTTCTGCATTTTTGATACAGACTGAAGAAGAATATTAGCCATAAAAACCCAAGAAAATCCACTGTTGTACAGACCAGATCTAACTACATTAATGACGTGTTTTAACCGGGTGACATCAGAAATGCCAATAATGGAGACTGTCACAAGAACATACCATTTGCCTGAGAATTCTTCATCACATATATATGTTTTTCAGGTAAAAAAAAAAAATGAATTCTGATTTTAACAATTCAAGAATCAATAGGTTGGATGGACGTCCCATCATGTGCAGTAGTGATTAACGATACAACAACGTTAAAACTGACGGTTCAGCGGGAGAGAACCCCAGTGAATATAAATCTATAAAACAAATCTCGACTGAACAACTATGAAACACAATTGGAGACATAGTGGTGGTGAGGCAAAATTCCAGTTTTTGTTGCAGCATTATAAAAATTATATATATTTTTTTGATCGGTAAAAAAAAAAAAAAATTATATATTTTTCTAAGGGTGGTTGGTGGTTACTTTGATATTTTTTCACTTGTGTCGGCAGAAAACTAAAACAAAATCATTGTTTGTAGCATGTCTTTTCTTGTTCATGTGTTGTTTTAAAAGCCGTAAAGTATTTTGTTTTTTATTTTTTTTCTTTTTATCTTATATGTCGCACTTATCTCGAGATCCTACTCCGTTATTAGTCGCCTAGAAGTATTTAACTTTGCAATGTGGTATTTGTTGATTCAAATAAAATTCGTCCCACGTTAGCATAAACTCGTGATCGGGAACATAGCTAGGATTAAAATTTTTTTTTTTAACTAAGAGAATTGAAAACAACAATTTTGAGTATCAAAAAAGGCAAGTTAGATTGACTAACCAAAAGACAATCAATTTGTCGATATACAAGCATAATACTGGACAAAAAATCATTTTCCGTTCTATTACGCAACATTGTCTTAATGATACTCATAACTGAAAATGCACGTTCTGTAGTTGCTGTTGAAATCGGATGAGTCAAGACAAGCCGAATCTATCGACAAGATTTTAACTCATTGATTTTCTTGCCAATGCCAACAGTTGGCACACATCAGGAAGTGTCGTCAAATTTTTAAATTGAGAATTACGTTGAACTTCAATTTGATATGGCTCCAATTGATCTTTCAAAACTGGGTTCTTTGCTTTTTACATTTTATGGGTAGTGGCATGTGGGTATGCTTTTAGGTAATTAATTCATAAATAGGTCATTTGCTTTTGGATTGGATTTAGACTATTTATTTATTTATTTATTTAAGTAATTATTGGACATTTTGTTTGGGTCTAATATTTTTGTATGGTTGAATTTTAAAACATAAGTTATTTGGTCAATATTTACTAATGGAAAAAAAAATTCAAAATTTTGCGGGGGACGATGAAACTGAAAAATAAATTACAAATTAACTAGGAATAGTGGTCCAACGGACAATGTTTGTGGGGCAGTTTCAATTACTCGACTTTCGCCATCTAGAATGTAACATTCGTGCTCCTCCACCAAACATTAGAACACTTGATCAAAATACCTCTCTGAACATTCTTTAATATCACAAATCTTGACGGAAAGTGAAAAGTAGATGAATCCGGAAGAAATCGATGAATTTCTTGAGAAACCTATGGCTGTAAAGCTCTTTAAGCATTCAAGTCATCGGAGGAAATATGTTAACAATCCTTATACCATATCTTCAGGGTAGACTATGTCACACATTATATACAGCAATTTTGCCATAATCTCAAGCAGAATTTCCCAAAAAGCCATGAGCTGTTGCTCACAAAGGTTAAAAAAAGTCATACCAGTCTTCTCAACAACAGGGGTAATTCAATTATAGATAAGAAATGAGCAATCAATCTATTGAGTACCCATAAAGCATCACTGATTTGAACAAGAACGATTACAAACCACAAACAATCTCGATTGCTTCTTATCATCAAGGCCTCCAATCAAATCAAGTCGATTTTGATATGATCATGCGTGTCCATACTGAACTGCAATTGCTCCTACAGATTTGTAAATAGCTTCCAAAAATTATCAAATGAAAAAAGAAATATCTGGTACATTGTTCCTAGTTTCTTAAATGAATTCTAAAGTTCTAACAAGACTAGGGACACATCACAGTAACAGAAGCTCAAATTGATGAATAAATGTTAATGTTACAAGTACAGTCTGATCAATTGGGACCAATCAAAACTTTTCTTGCGGCCAAAGTAATCTTGTAACCGTGGAGTTGTGCGAGGGATAAAAGAATTGCTCCCGAACTCCTGTTGTCTGCTAGTCCCGCCTTGACATTGTACTGGCTTTTCACTGCACTGAAGTCGAGTTGCCCACCCAATACTGTTTAACTGCAACAAGTATTTTCTCTGGAACAAGAGGACCGTCCTCGTGATCTACCAACTTTGAGTCATATCTCATACCTCCTATAATCTTCTTCACCTTGATAAGCACATCCACTTCATCTCGGAAGATAATTGCACCTTCTGGCCGCAGTATACGGTCCATCTCCAGAAGAATATCTTCAAAGTTACACCTGTATCAAGTTGATCAAAGTTAAAGGTCACAACTTATACCCATCAATTTTAAATCAACTGCCTATCTCCTTCGGGGGAACTGAACCCAACATTGCAAGGAAAGTAGAAGTCTTTAGTTTTTCAGTAGGTACTTAGAATAGGTATCTACAGAATATGTCACCTTCGTACCATATACATGAACTTGTTCGGAGAACCAAATTTCAGATTTATTAATACAAAGGCTTGCTCGAACGTGAATCCACGGAAAGAGAGCCCTAATCTCTATCAAGCATCCATATCTCAATTGAACGCAGATTGTCACATAAAGGTAACACTTACTTATTTTTGTACAAGCTAAAAACACCATTAGCATGGATGAGGTCGTACGTCCTTGGATATGTAGAGAACGCTTCACACCTAAATCAGAAAGATTACAATGAGCGAAAGGACTTCTATTTTCAAGTCTTAAGTGTAAACTACTAAATCAAATATTAATGCTAAACTAGAAGAATGATGCTCAAAACTGATTTAGCTTGTAAAAACGCACACTACAAAGTCATGCTTGACAAAATAAATGCATGAGGTAATTATTGTATCCCAAGTATTTCAAATACACATAATAATACTGCGCTGGCCTATCACAGTTCCAATTCACGAGTTTCTGTGATATTAGGGCAATCCACATGGAAAGCTCAACTGGACAACAAGTGAACGCATCATTTGGGCATGTTGCCAACACATTGCCGACACACTGGGCGACACATTGTAGACATGCCAAATTAATTTAAAAAAAAAAATTACTTTCAGTACTTTTCTGAAAAATTAAGTGTCAGCATATCCGTTCTCGTGTCCTGTCTAACACTTGTGTCCGTGTGAGTGCTTCCTAGGTTAAAAACTTCAAATATTGAGTGACAAAGTGAATTGAGGGCAAGACACTATATAAGATGCTTATACGATTATAGAGACTAGAAGCTGTGAGGACAAAGAAAGTCATACCAGTCATGATAAATACCAATAAGTCCCCTTTCATATATAACACCCAGGGTATTCTTCTCTGCGATGGTGGGCATAACGTTCATAACCCACAGTTTGGGAGATTGCAGGGCAGCAGCAAATCCTCCCAATCCAGCATTCATATCCATAATGTTGCGGTACCTTCCCGTGTCAATGATTTTGTTGATCTTTTTATATGCATTCACATGCCTTTTCCATTTCTTGTTGTCCTCCAGATATTCCTCAACAGAGACTCCAGATACGGACCCACTAGCAATTCTAGGGGGAACGGCATATAGCCTCTCAGGGAATGGCTTGACATCCACACTAGAATCTTCATCTCTGTTGGAATTGCTATATGGAGTAACACACGGCTCCATTTTCTTGTACCTAATATGCCCAAAAGACAGCACATAAATGATTCAGTTTTGGAAATTTGTTCCTACAAAAATGTAATGCAACTTGAGGCACTTTATGAAGTGTGCTACATATCTATAATGCAGCTGCTATACGTAAAAAAATTCTAGTTTCCTTACATATCAAAATCCACGAGAGTGCTTATGAACACTCGTGCAAGGTAACTGCTTACCAGACATCATCAGGGTCTTCAGCTTTACAAAATGTAGCTCCAGAATTTTCTTGAGCAGAACGACAAGAATCAGCATCCACTCTCTTCTGCCATATTGCAATTTCACCCTTCTCAGACTTCTTGTCCCAGCAGAGAAGTTTAGCAATCTCTTCGATCTTCCTTTGTTCTTCCTGAAGTTCCTCCTCAGGACGTTGCCATGCTCTGTAGTTGGTCTTCCAATTGATGGGAGGGCCTGAAAGGACCCAGTAGCCACCAGGTCTAAGAACCCGATCAACTTCCTTCATGTATATTCCATCTGCAATGAAAAAGAACAAAATATTATTGTATGACAAGCTCTTCAGCCGAAATAATCTTAGTAAATGCAAAATGGTATATAGCTGGATAGCGTTTCACAAGGATAGGAATGTGCAGGTTCATATTATGGAATTTGATTAACCGCATTGCAATTATATAATATACAGTTTGGTTTGTCTACAGAAGATTCACAGAACAAGATAAATTAAGATTTGATTCTTACCATTTGCTCCCCAAGGAATTAGACACCGAGAACAGTGCGACATATCAAAAGCTCTAGATGGGTATGGCATCTTTACAGTTCCAAGAACACCAATAACAGCAGGTACTCCCCTTTCAAGAGCAAATTGAACCTGGGCTTCATGGGAATCTCTTGGCGCAAACGACATTGCTATAACATTCCTCTTCCAAAGATATGCACCCCAACTTGCAACCTAACACAATAACCCAATTTTCAGAAAGTTGAGAACAGACAGATTACTTGAAGATTGGAAAAAGGAATTCGAAGAGAAACATAAAAAGAAGTATATTAGTTATTCAAGAGAGTTCTGCAGCACTCATCATACCCCGCAACCGGTGTCCAATGCAGTTCGAACAATTCCATTTTCAATTGGTATTACCGAACCAAGCTGGTCAATGTATTTATCAGCCCCTTGAGGAAATTGTGTTCCTCCACCAGGGAACCTGAACACATTTCCCTCATACTGAATCCAGTTCTGAATAGCCTTCTCTACTGTCAAGCTCTTATATGGTGCATTGGCATAGGGAACATAATCACGACTCTTAGGCCATGGAAATGGGGTAACATAACCTTTAGGTGCTGGAATAAGGCAATGCAACTTCTCTTCTTGACGGGGGCAATGTCTCTCACGGTAGTACATATTGTCCCTCGGAAACGTCATAGCACGCCTTTGATCCTGGCAAGGAGTGTAATCCGTGTACCGAGAAGTGCATGGCTTATACACTTTCACTTTTGAATCAGAATCGTCAACGGTTCCGGCTTCACCACCATGATGGGTCTCAAAATTGAGATTTGGGAGGGTATTGCAGTTTTCTCCACTCTTGGTCATCTCCAATGCTATTCTGTCTCCTTTCCCGAACCCACTTCTCTGCCATACTCCCAGTAAGTAGAAGAAACAGCATAAACCAGCTATTATAAGAAACGACACAGAACTCCTAGTTCTACTGTCTCCCGAATTGAACTTGTTTGCCATCACAGCCCTGAAACATTTATTACTCATTTTTTAGTAGAGATACAAGAAATTGCAATATGAATTTGCCATTTTGTACTACTTTTGTTAAAATATCTGTATGATAATGCAACAACGCAAATGGTATGCACGTGCACATTAAGCATTATCCATATCAATATCAAATTCAAGAAAATAAATGGTCTATCAAACTGATCTCCATTTCCTCTTAAGGCTAACTCCAAATCTTGGAAACAATATACATTAGCAAATATTACGGTTAAGACAAGCACTAGAAAATCAAAAAACTGAAAACACATGTATATTTCAAGAGTGAAACCCCTCTAGTAAAGTCATCAGGAAGATTCATCAAACTGAATTCAGCAGATCCAGATGTCAAGTGAGACATCAATAACTCATCTTTCCTCATTTAACTTCAAACAACATTAAAATTCAACTAAAACCCGGATCAAGGAAGCACGGCATACACAACAAGATAGATTAACTAACCGATGGGGAAAGATGGGCAAAATAGCAAACAAACTTACGAAAGCCCCAATTTTTCTGACTTTAACTATTACTTAAAACTCTCAAATCAAGCATGAGATTGCTTCAAATGTGACTAAAAGGTTGATACTTTAACAGGAAATAAAGATTATGAGGTTGAAACAGCACTGAATAGCTAAGCATTTAGTGTCATCGAAAAAGGGTTCGAAGAAAACGATTTAATTATAAGATCAAGATTTTCATTATATCAGAACATAAATCGTGAAAAAATTGAAACTAAACTACATTCCCATAAATTTCATTGACTTAACCAAAAACTAAATCTCGTACCAAAAACATCAGTTGATGCGAACACAGATTCAACGATCCGGAAAGCTCGTATCTATACGCTTTTCTTTCGCTGCAAACCCACTGAAAATAATGCTAAAAGAGAAAAAGATTAACAGAGATTTTGACGAGAGAATGCCCAATAGAAACTATCTATATGCTGAATTTTGACCATAAAAATCTCTCTCATCGAAGAGTTAAATACAAAGCTCATAGGTGTTTGATCATTGCTTATATAGATCGACCATTAACGTCTCTCTCTCTCAAAAATATCGTACGACAAGCGAACCTTTGTTTTGTTATAACCTTAAAATATAGTTTTTCATTTTGATCCTCATCTTTGGATTTTATATCAGTGCCGAGATAGTTCTGAATTTACAAACAATTATCCAATGTATTTAGTTAATTAGATGTCAAAAGGGTCGGGCCGAGCCTCCATCTGGCACGTAATTTAAGTGCCTGTACTACTTGTGGCAAGTCATGCCCAAGTGCTCGTCCCTCAAAGGGGAGGCACGACACACACAATCTGTCTTAAATTGACACCCATAACGTAAGTTATGTTAGACTTGATAATATATTAAAGGCCATAATAAATAGACAATAAATAAATAATTTATAGAGAGTAGAACCCTAAAAGATAAAGTCCTAAATATGGAAAAGATTAGAGTTCCCTCTACAAATAAACAAATTATGATTATGCGTAAGACCTCGAGTCAAACTCACTAGGTTTAGTACTGAGAGATCGTTAATGAAAAGTAGCATTGTATTTCATCGAGTTTGGTTAGTGTTTAAAAACTATTTATAATTGATCAAATCATTTTTTATCTACACTTTTTTAATCATTTAAGTACTACTCACTTAATTTAAACTTATTTCTATCTGGTTATAATTCAAGCTGATTAAAAGCAATTCCCAAACATGAGTTAGAGCACAGAGTGTACAGTGTAGTGATGAATATAATGAAAGTCGATCTCCAGGTTCAAAAAAATACCATTGTAAACATTCTAATTATAAAATAACTGTTGGCTCGAAACTTCATCTTAAAATTGATCAACTTTACAATCAAGATAGCCAAGCAACCAAATTAAAGGAATGCAAAAGGGAAAGAAGATTTTTGAACATCACGAAAAGAGACAAAACTATAATGTGAAACCAAGTAGCCACCATAAGCCAACAATGATCACCAAATGAAAGAAATGGCACAAGTCGATGCAAGCGCCATTTCGTCACAAGTCAACCGATCAAAAGATAGCAGAATAAAACCAACAATTTTCAAATATTCTGTATGCAAATACCAAATACGAAAGTTTACTCCAACTAAACTCCTAATCACGTGAACCAAATACCAAATTTCTAATCAACAGAATTGGAAATTGAATTTCAGATTCTCCGAACAACTCTATATTTCAATTGGTAAATTATAGCAATATTTCATAATTTGAAGTTCGGTTAGTTTCTGTCAACATATTTTCTCATCAGTAATAATAAAAAGCTACCAATAATAAGTCTAGAAAGATAGTACATTATCACAAAATTAATAACATACAAGAATTGTACCTGCCCATTATTCCTAAGGGGCAAATTGATATTGGTCACAAAGAAGAGGGATGACATGAAATTATCCAGCCATGTATGAATTGATAATTGTTAATGATGTTTGTGTTTGACGGTGGGAGGATAAAGCTACCAATGCCGTCCAGATCTTAGAGGTGAGTCGGACCCACACGATAATGAAGGTATACTAAACCAAGGAAAAGTTGTCGGCTCGCACCTTCATGTGGGGTCTACTGAGCGCGTATTTATTTTGTGATATATTTTATTGAATAAATCTATATGTACATAATTATTGTACAAAATGAATTACATAGGCCCATGTGTAAGAAATTCGATTTATGGATGCACGCAACATGTCAATTATGTAACATATTATGTAAATGATTACGTATTTGTAACATGGTTCTATTTTATTTTTGTGATACCATCAATCAACAATGCATTTTAAGGAAAATTTGTAGAGTAAAAAATGAGTTCAGTTGGTGCAATTGGTCAATCACTCTACTTCCCAACATCATATTTTGCACTATTCTGCACCAAAATGGTTAATGTCCTTTTTGCCCTTCTTTTCCATTTTGCACCAATTTTTTTGTTAAAGGGAATTTGTTTTAATTTATTATTATTATTATTATTATTATTATTATTATTATTATTTACATTTGTAGTACATATAATCAAAAAAATTTCGTTAACGAAACATAATTTCTTATTTAGTAGCTTACGTAGTAAATAATTTTGCGTGCTTTTTCTTAATTTTTATTTTCTTAGATAATTAGATATAGTTAAAATCAATGTCCAATAAAATAATTATTCGTTTTTTAAATTAGATCTAGGTTTAGTTAAAGTAAAAATTTCATGGGAATAATACTCTATTTATTACATCATTACTTGTAAAGATCCGTTTACTTACACGATAAAATCGACTACAGTGTTCATGATTGTTAAAAATGGTGATCCATCATTTGTTCATGTGGACCAGTACATAGACTAGTACACCTTTTTGTTCTTAACACTAATTTTTTTTTTTTTTTTTTAAATTGTGTTTTCCCATTTAGCTCCTCTGTACGACAATTAATTCAAATTACACATTTTACGGGACACACAATTTTTTAATCATAAATTTCATTAAAATCTAATAAAAATCTGCTTAATTTAAATTGTCCCACTTTGGTAGCATGCAAAGGACGTGGTCATGGGCCCAACATGTAGCATATCTCCAATTTTATTTTGTAGATCTAAAGTGAGGTACACTGAGTTCATGTTTGGCATAAATTTAAATTAAATTTTGATAAATATTGATGAAATATTCTGTTTAAAAATTATAAAAAACGATTAAAATTAATTGTTGACTTTAATTTAAAATTTTAGTTGAATTTTAATTTAAATCAAACAGGGGCTAAATGTTAAGGGTACGATTGGTTTACTATTTTCAAGTTATTTTCAATTTTTAATTTTCTAAACACTGAAAACGTCTTTAATCTGATATTTATGAAAATACATTTTCAAAAACAAAGATAACTTTATAACATAAAACTCAAAACGTATTTTTGACATTTTTAGTATTTTTAATGAAAAGTTTGAAAGTACTCAAAACATGGAAAACAAATGTTTAAACAAAATATAAAAATATAAAATTCTAACAAATAGAATTTAAAAATAATAAAAAAAAAAGAAATTCAAAAACTAAAATCGATAAATTCTAAAAATAATATCTAAAATTTAAAAATTTAATTGTAAAATTTAAAAAAAATTATAAAAATTTATAGAATAAAATATAAGGAATAGAAAATAAAAATAGTTCAATCTCTTAATGGTTAAATCATTAGAATTTACAAAAAAAAAAAAAAATTAATAAACACAAATAAAAAGTTTCTCAGTCTATATCTTTAATTTTTATTTTTATTTCTTATATTTTGAATTCAATTTATTATTTGTTTTTATTTTACTTTTGTATTGAAAAAAAAATTGTAATTCTGTTTTGAGAAATAATTTTACAAAATGACAATCTATGCGTATTTTTAACAATCCTTAAATAGATCATTGAAATAGAAAATTAAAAATAACTCAAAACTAAAACATAAATCAAATGGCCCTAAACAATTAAATAATCAAAATCGACAACATAATATTATTTTATTACCATTGAGCGGCATGATCGCGGATTAATATCCATACAATATATAAAAGAGAAAAGTTTGTTACTATTCATAAGGCATCATCTTTGTGTTATGTTGATGTCATATATACTAATTTTACCTTTTTTATTTTTTCTCCTCAAGCACTACATAGTTTTCTTTTCACAGGACACAATTTCTCCATTTCTCCACCCAAACTTCCATACCTTTTTACTCATATCTTTACACAATCATTCAAGACTTGTCATTTCTTTTTCTCTCTTTACTATTTGTTGTTTATTTTCGCCTATCTTTCTATTTGAATTTTCTGAGATCTTATTTTCCCCTCTTTTGTTTTTCTCTCTCTACTTTTCGAAT